AACTGGTTTTCATATATATAGAACAGAAAAAAATGAAGTAGAAAAAAATATTTGGTTAACATTTATAAAAGTTGGTTACCAACTTGGATTGTTAGGATTTTGTACGTAAAAATACCTATTAATTTTTTTTGATTTCATTGAAAAGATTATACCTCATTAGAATTTTATTTTAGGTTTTGTTTTTGCTCTTTTCATTGGATTTCTTTATGTTCCAGTTATTTGGAATTTTGTTTTTTATAATATAAAAACTCCACTTTTATATGCGAAATTTTTCGATGATGACGATGCATATTACGGCTATATATTCATATACGAAACTGTAGTAGTTATATTTGTAACAAATTTTATAGGAAGTTATTTGTGTGCCTTCATATTTTATAGTTCCATTATATTTTTAAAGGTTCAACGAACTTGGTAATTACACAAAAAAATTAAAAATTAGCTGCAGTAGCTTTGATTTCCACCATAAAAAAAATATTTAAACATATCCATTTAATTTTAGCAAAACTATTTGGAATTTAAAACATCATTATCAATATACTTTCAATCGTAAATCAAACAGCAGCATTGAGAAAAAGTTAGTTGAAAGTATTAGAAATCATAAAAATTGTCTCAAGTTAAGTGTCAAATTGATGAGCGACAAAAATTGAATAAAAACAATGCAACTTCATTATTTCAAATTTTAGATTATTTGACGCAGTCAATAATTTTTGCCGACCAATGTTGTTCATCGTTATGATTCATATTCTAATCTGTTTTACTATGATGGGATTCATTGTAGTCAATTACAAGCATTTTTATACTGAACTATAAAATTGTCATTAAATTAAAAACTTTTTACGTAATTTTTTAGATGGTGGCTCACTTAAAAAATGGATTAATGATGGGTGCTTTAAAAATGGCTGTTGGTTTAACCGGATGTATAGTTATTTTATCATTTGTTTGTTTTCCAAGTCAATTACTAATTGATGTCAGCAATAAAATTAGATTTGCGTGGTATGTATGTAAATTAATTTATGTTATCAAGGCCCTCTAATTTAATATTTTATATTTTCACAGCTACTCTTGTAATTGGTATACTTGGAATCCAAAAACTAGATTAATTTTACTCATGATCATGATTAGAACATCAAAACCATTTAGTTGGATTGCTGGCCCCGGTATTATGTTAAACTTTCAAACCGTGGCTTTTGTAAGTTTAAGATATGATAACTTGTTCAAAATAAAACTAATGATAAAATAATGAAAACTAATGCTTCTTATTGAAGGTAGTGAAAACAGGACTATCATACATAATGACAATGATGTCTCTTTACTCATAGAAAATTACGTATACATAGAGTTATGTACTTAGTATTCATTAGATATAGTAATTTTATGGGACTAATTAATACGACAATTTTTAGGAGTTTGTCATAATTTAAAAGCCATACTCTGTTTTCCAAGCCAAGTATTATAATAATTGATGAACTTCGAGATAATTATGTACCAAAACAATAAAACTATATTCTAACGAGTCTTTACCCCACATTTTTTACCGACAGAGTCGAAAAATTTGTTTAATTTATATCTTTTTTTCTAAATCGAATATCGGAAAACGTCTCTGTGGGAACATTCGTTTTGTTGCTCTAAGTAGCTGGTAAAAATTTTAGCTAATTCCACCGACCAGATTTTTCGGAAAACGTGTTTGAAAATTTTCACACGTTTCCCCTGCTTGAAATTTTCAAATGCGTTTTCCGAAAGATCTGGTCGGTGGAATTAGCTAAAATTTTTACCAGCTACTTAGAGCAACAAAACGAATGTTCCCACAGAGACGTTTTCCGATATTCGATTTAGAAAAAAAGATATGAATTAAACAAATTTTTCGACTCTGTGGGGTACAGACCTCCTTAATTTAATCTTGAATTGCGGAAATAATATTTTTGTCATTACAGCAAGTAATCTTTTATGTAAATATTAGTTCGTTTTGATTATTTTTAAAACCATTTTACGTCTCCAAATTATTCATATAAATTATAAAAATTCGTTTTCAGTCATGCATCATGAATTTCAATCGATCTTTCCAGACTGCTATACTTTAGTAGGCCACCAAGGTTTTTTTTTATAATTCTTTTCAGTCTCCGAACAATATAATCACATAGCTTGAAATAATTTATTAATAAGACTTATATTACATCGTTTACAAAAAAGGCTTTTGTAACGTTATACATTCACACTTATTGTAAAAATTATATATACAATTTTAGAAATAATTGGTATAGTTGCTTGAAAGGGTCCATCAAGGATCGTATTAATTTTTTTAGTCAGTTCAGATTTGTTCCAAAGAATCATCGAATGGTATTTTACTTCTAAGTGTGATTAAAAACTATACATGCAATATTAATATGACCTCTTTGAATTAAAAAAAAGATTAAAATTTCATGATATTTATCCATTTATTTATATATTATAAATTCATACAATATTTATACAATTTTTTCGTACGATATTCATTGTGAACAAATTCGCTTCATTCAAACTTCAAAATTAAAAGGGACCCAGTAAGCAAAAAGTGGCGCAGTAAAGATAATCCAACGATTTTTCGAAATCAAAATAATAGAAATATTTAAAAGACATTTATATTCGTATGTATAAGATGTTTGATAAGAAAAAGATTTTCGAATTAGAAGAGTTCTTATGGAAACACTCCTACTGGGTTTTAATGATGTTTAAAATTCTATTTATCTGGCCTTACAATTCATATAAAATAAATCTAGTTGGTAGAATTTGGGTTTTCATAAGTTCTATAATAATTATTTTTGCTATGGTATTAGTACTTAAAATCAATTCATCTTTATTTACTTGTGTTCATAAATTGACAATAAAAAAACTTTCTTAAGATCCACCGCTGTTATCATGAACTTCACCATCCAACGGAAACAAACTTACTTCTCTTAGTTGAAATTCTACTTTTTTTATTGACGGTAATGACAATGATCACTTTGTACTGGATAAGTGTGATATTTAGTCAAACGGTAAGTGTAAATTACTAAAATATATTTAGAATTTATACAAAAACGGACATTAATTAAAAATTTCAAGTTTTTTAATTGCATGTATGCCTTTTTGCAAATATTTGAAGAGGAGGAAAATATAATTTTAAAAAATCGATGGCTAAAAACTTTAAAAACTGGTTATAAAATTGGAATGACAGGATTTTGTAAGAAAATCTTATTTATTTTTAAGTTATGTAATTTTTCCACAATTCATCTTTTCAGGTCTTATTTTCACTATAATGACGAGTTACATTTTTGTTCCTGTTATTTGGAATTACATGATTCATAATACAAAAATTCAAACTTTGCCCACAAAATTTTTTGAAAATGACGATACATTCTTCCGCTCCATTTTTTTATATGAATCAATATTTTATATTTTCTTTGTCGGTTTTATTTCAATGCTGATATGTTCTCACATAATTTATAGTTATGTTATAATAATTCGATTTCGGCAAGCAAGGTAATCAAATGTAAAAATATGTTATCCGTTTTTTAGATTTGATAGTCAATTTTAATGCATATTCATTATTATTCAGTGAAAATTGTGAAAGTTTGAAGTTAAATGAACCGTATAGCTACAATTTGATATCACCTTACAATGACATTAAAGATAACTTGATTGCAACCATTCAACTTCATAAAAAATGTATCAAGTTAAGATTTAATTACATTATAATTATTTTAAGATTTAACAAGATCAACAATTCATAGTATTTCATTTTTTAAGATTACATGAAGGCGCTAATCAAATTTGCCAACCAATACTATTTATTACTCTGGGTCAGGCAGTACTCACTTTTACTGTGTCGGGATTTATGGTACTAACACGATTGACTAGGTTCAATATAATACGATAAGTGAAAATCAATGTGATTTTATGTACAATTACATGTTTCTTTACTAGTACTTATCCGATTTTATCGAACCAAAGTAACTGGAAAAATGTATATATTTCTATGTCTTACCGATTGTGCATTTTTAAAAAAAATGTTATCATTAAAAACCTTATTCTTTTGGCTATAAAAGTAAATTATAAGCATAATTAACTAATTTCTTCAGATGGTAGTACAAATAAAAAAAGGGCTTATAATGAATGCCTTAAAGATGTCAGTGGGTTGTTTTGGAAGTATTATGGTTTTAATAATTTGTTGCTTTCCAAGTCAATTAATAAATGATGCTAGCAATGATGTTGGACTTGCATGGTACAAAAAAACTCAAAAACATTAGGTACTCGTTTCACGTATAAAAAATTCTGTTAATGAAGTTATTGCAGTAGCTGGTATCTGTGGAAACCTAAAGCTAGATTAGCATACCTTCTGGTTATGATAAGAACGTCGAGGCCGTGTGGTTGGAAAGCTGGACCTTTTTTTGTCTTGAATTTTCAAATGGTCGCTTTCGTGAGTAACTTACTAATGAGTTGAAAAAATACATGCATTAAAATTGTCTATTTAGTTTTTATGTAAAAAATGAAGGCTATGAAAACAGGACTGTCGTATATAATGGCTTTGATATCTCTTTACTCGTAAAAACATTATGCTGCAAAGAATTGCATCTAAAATGGAGGCAATTGGCATCATTATCACATGGGGACACTTGGAGTAAACTAATGCAGTCATAGGTACCGTTTTAATTATATACTTCAGATTGTGCAAAAAAAAAAATAATGGAAAAATATTTATAATATAAATGTCAATTATTCCAAAAAACGATTTAATCCTTGAAAAAGAAAACAAATAAATAAAAACAAAAAAATTAAATTTCTGAAAGCGGAAAGAAATTAATTTTCATTTTCACGTTGACTTTGGGAGCGATCGTGTACATTTAAAAATTAATAACTGCAATAAAAATTTTATTTTAAGATTGATTTATATCACCCACGCCTGCATGAAGTTTTTTTCACTTTGACGTTTTTGGGCGCTATTACTGCAATTTGAAAATGTTTGCCGTCAGAGTAGATGGCGCTTTAGGGTAAGCATTCTGCTTTTGTACTAAGCAGTAGTTATGTAAAGTAATTTTGTATGTAAAGCAACATAACAGTGATGCATTTACATTGATTCTTGAATTAATTTATTTAATTTTCGCATTTTCAGCTGTGCTCTAAATATTGTTGTGTTTACTAGAAGGTTTTTAAATAGTTTACAAATATGGGTCTTATAAGGTTAGTTGTAATATTTGGACATATTCAGTGATTATAAACACACACTTGGGTGTTAACATAAATCCCAATTTTTTTGTCAAATATGTAATTTGACTTTTTCTTTTTTAGAGTTGCAATAAAAAGTAGCATTGCTGGAGGTATAACATACTATACAGTTCAAGAAGGTCTTTGGTCTAGCCCAGAAGATTCAGCTAAACTTTATGACAAGTTGTATAAAAACATCAGTCCAATAATTCAGAAAAATGTACCACAAGAAGTTATCAAAGAGGTAAATAAACTTTATTTAAATAGTATATCACTTGAAACATCTATTAATGGTCTTTCAATTTTTACATAGGTTCATGAATTACCTAGTTTGGGAAATATGAGATCTTGTGCAGCGTCTTATTACAATAAAGGAGTTTTAGCCACGTTCCAATTTCTAGCTGATTTACCAACACATATTTCTAATGGAGTTGACAGAATCAAGCAGGAAATTGAAAAAAGTAACTTATTAGGCAATGAAACAACAAATACCCCTAACACTAAGTAGTTCATTCTTGGTTTAACATAATTTTAATCGATTACTAGGTACTAAAATTGCAGCAGCCGACGAGAACTGAAAAATCAAACATAATTGTTTTATAGTGAAGTGTAAAATATATTTTTATTTTTAGTTGATTCTATATTGAATCAGTTCCTTCAGAAAAATAAAAAATTATTTATAAAACTGCTGTGATTATCTGCCTGTAATAAAATTATTTACCAAAAAAATGCAGGATAAAGAAATAAATAACAAGTTTTAGTTTATGTTATGAAAAAGAAATATCATTTAAAAAAGCCTCTTATACAGCAATTTACATTTATGTCACTTATAAGCATTATTTTCAACAATCACTGAAAACTTCAGCGTAGCTGAAGCTCTTTTCGCTATTATTAAATTATAGAGGTAATTTCATATGTATAAAGCTTGATACAACTTTTTACAATTATCATCAATTTATAAATTTGATTGAAAGTCAAATTCATTGTACAGTAGCAATTTTTTTCCATTTTGTTTTGTTGCAGCGCTGATTATATGTAAACTATTATGTTATTAACAATTCATTTAATTAATATTCATCTAATAAACGTTAAAAATCATTTCTTTCCTTGGTTTTTTCATGCCACTTGAAAGATAATGATTTCTTCCATAAAACATATGACCATTATAAAAAATCAATGACAAGAAAAACAAGTGGCTCTAGCTACTTGGCTAGAATTTTCATAGTCTGGGCAACATTTATCTAGCTGAGGGTAGAGACGTCATCGACGATAACGAAGGCGGTCCTGAACTAATATTAAGTTTATCAAATTCTTCATCAGCTTTATTATTTTTGAATTCTTGTTGGCAAAATAGAAATTTATCCCATTCATCCATTCTTGGGTGCACGATATGCTGCAAATTAAAAAAAGGATAAATAAATGTACATCATAACTTTACCGCAACGAGCGAGACGATTCATTTTACGACTTACCTCGGCTACGTCGTACACCCAAATCTTGCCGCTGTCATCTCCCACAGTAATGTGCATACCGTTGGATGACCAAGACACCCTGTTGAGAGCGGGCGAGCCATCGATCGTGATACTGGCCGCAGGTATCTCGGTGTCCTGATTCAGATTCCAGAGATCGAGTTTACCGGAATCATCGACTGCGGCGAAAACGGCTGGATGGCTGGGCGACCAAGCTACGTCGTAAACGTAGTCGCTGTTGTGCTCGAAGGAGTACAGTGGCTTGTTCTCTTTCATGCTCCAAAGTTTGATGGTCCAGTCGACCGAGGAACTAAGGAACAAGTGGGAAAAGTCGATGCCACCGGGCACGGCGTGCGCGTCGACGCCCGTGATCGGGCCCATGTGACCCTCGTACATCTCCGTGACACCTGCTCTCGTACCGTGACGACAAGCTGTGCAAAAAAGGAGAAAGATTTAAGATCAATGACTCAATCCCAAGTGTAAAATGCATATGGGTGAGTTGAGTTATAATTACCAGAATAAACAGTTCCATCTTCGCTACCAACTACGAAATTATTTACATCGCCGTGAGGGAAGGCCAATTGCGTCACTGCAATCTGTTTCGACTGCTTGTTCTGCAATTCGAGCATTTCCTGCGGCTGCGACAACATGTCCAAGCTCCAGGAGCACAATTTTCCGTCGGTCGACACACTGATCAGATTATGCGCATTTTGGGTACCTACGACTTGCAAACAATACACCGGATGCTGCGAAAAAAGAAACAGAGTGAAGTCAATTATTAACTTGCAAACCTTATACGTCGTTCAAAAGCAAACACTTACGGTGTGAGCCGCAGCCGAGAGCGGCGTGCGCTGAATGGGCACCCTCTTCTGCACCCTGTTGTCCCAGAGCACCACCTGGCCCGAGTACGTGCCGCCCAGTATGAGATTCGGATGGAACCTGGCGAAGGTCGTCGACATCACGGGCGACTGACAGTGGAAGATGAACTCGGGCGTGGACTTTTTGAACTTGGTGTTCCAAACGAGGCAGACGCCGTCCGGGTCGTGGGGCGTGTCGTCGTTGTTGTTGTAGGAGGCGACCAGCAGCTCGGGGAACTGGGGCGACCAGTCGATCGCCGTGACGCAACGATTGCGCGACCAGCGCTCGTCGAAGAATTGCCGATTTAGCCAGAGGCACTGGTGGCTCTTGTCGTCCCTGTAATAATGATACGCATACGTATGAGTTTTGGTATGTGGGGATGAACATTTTCCATTTATTTTTTCCAATTTAAAAAACTCTTACATTCCATCCTCGCCGTCCATCGTGCCCGTGTAATCTGTGTATATGTTGACGGATTCGGCAAGCGCTCGCTCGACTATTCTGCTCGATCTGTCGATGAAACGTTTGAACTCCTCCGATATCATCAGCATCTGTTTTTCCTCTTCGCTTAACTCTCTCACTGCGAAAAGATCGATTGAATTTTTAGAATAAATATTAAAAATCCTCGTTTATTTATGGCTGCTGCTGCCCATCATTCAATGAGTACCTTCTTTCAGTTTTTCTTGTTCCTTCTGTTTCTCCTCCTGGGTAACGGCTGGTTGGACCTCCTTGACCTGGGGCAGTCCGTGGGGAAGAATACCAGGTGGCAGTTTGCTTTGAAAGCCGTCCATGTGAGGCAGGCTGTTCTCCTCGTCCTCGGCTTGGCCGTCGTCATATGTCAAAACTGTGGTGAATAAGTCGGTTCCGGGCAAGGGCTCGAGGCCCAACTTTTTTTTTATACGACTAAAGCTAAGATCGAAATTAACTCTAATGATACCGAACGTATCGCGGTTCTCATATAGAAAACTTACACGATAATTACAACACATTTACATACGGGTAAAGAATTTTGATGGGACCAATTACTTTCGAAGTAATGGTTACTCGAGATGATCGTTTGTCCACCAAATTCTTATAACAAAGTTTTTTAATATAATTTTATAGATACGATCTCCCAAGATTACCACTTCTTCTTTTAACAAAAATTATTACAATCGTTTGGATAACAAACGAAAATGAAAACAGCAAAATAATTTTAAGGATGTATCTATACACATTGATCTTTGTACGTTAAGGGCATTCAAATTAAAAAAGTAACGGTAACAAAATGTCTCTTCTACATTCACTACTATAAGGGAAAAATTATTTAACAATCGTATTTACTTTTACAGTTACGTGAAAGTATTAAGATTGAATTTTTCAAATTATTTAGTGTCTGACGAGAAAAAATGTTTGAAATTTAATATAAAAATTAAAAAAAAGAAGTTTCATTTGATAATTCGCTTATTACGTGGTTGAATGTCGGAACGAAGCATAAATTGATAGGTGATAATAATGCGAGAAAAAGAAATGTGGGGATGTTTGTATTATAATGTTATTGTAACGCAACTTCCTGAGTCTCGTAATAAGGAAGTGTGAGACTTATGTCTTATCACGACAGAGACGCTCTAAAAAAGGAAAGGAGCCAAAGTAAAGGTAACAGTGCATTCTAAGGATTCATAAAGATGAAGTGCTGACAACTTGCAGGAAGATGGCGAGGTAATTAGTTGGTACGATTTAGCGAAATCAAAAAAGATTACTGAGAGAGATAAGATGTGACTACTAATAGATCAATTTATGAAAGAACAAAATAACAAGCAGCATGCCTGAAAAAGCTAACATAATTTTTTTTTGAGAAAAACGTACTAATCTATCTACCAAATTATTTTCCTTACAATAATATAAGTACTTAGTCATGTATAAAACATGCCTTTATGTGTTTACTCGATTAATTTAATTCTCATAAGTGCAAAATGACACTTAATGAATATTAAGAATTCGATGTCAAATAATCAATAATAACATATAATGTAACAAATATACTTCGAGTTTCTCAGAGATTCACCTACCTGTAAACTCGTCCTCCCATTCTAAACCAGGGTTAAGATTGTACTCGTCTTGAATGAGGAAAAGAAAAAATCAAAATCAATTCGGGTTCGTAAAATTTCATTTAAATTATACAAATACAAATGAATTTCATATTAATACCAATGCTCAAATTTTTATTCATTTATAAAACAACAATTGTGAATTTAAGATATATTTCAACTAGGAACTCATGGAAAAACCTCAATTGCATTGATAGTAAAGTGAAATACCAATGAATTAGTTAATAGTTAAGACATTATAACGTAAAAAATCACGTTTTTCAATTTTTTAACAGAGGATGTTTATTCTATATGTGATTTTTCCGAAAATTAATAGTTAGTAAAAACGATTTAAACATCCGAATAAACACCCTTTATCTTTACTTAAGACTATATTTCAATTTGCAAACACACATATTGGCATGCAGAAACCTTCTTTTTAATTTTAAAAGCATGTATGGCAAAATCTCGATTCTTTTCCATTCCAAACAAAAGATATACATTTTATAAACCTTTAGCAAATTTAGTGTATTAACAGCAAGCTTATGCGGTAATGCCAAATTTATTTATGTTAATTTATTAGTGCAATTTTTCTTATGAACCAATTTACAATCGGTGTTTTGGATTAATTTAACAATAAAATTCCCCTGATTAATAAGTGTTAGTATTTGATTGCAGATCTTCAGTGTCACTATTTAGTGTCACATTACACCCACACCTATAAAAAAATGCCCTTTTCCAGAGTTAGTTGATTTTGTATCCTCACCACAGTGGTTAATCTTGCCTTGAATTATCATCTATTTATATATCAATTTCTATTTAAAAAGTAAACTGAGTACTCTGGAAGGTGCGTTAAGTAGTGACAAGTGTTACAGAAGATCTCTGAGAAGATGAAAAATATTGATTTTAATTCGATCGCTCCTGAGATTGCAGTAACTTGAAAATAAGATGTAAAGAAGATGATGATTTATTTGGAAAGTTATTTTCTGTCGCCTAAGATATAAATCAAGTGTGTTTTTATAATTTTATTTTAATTTTTACTCAAAAATTACGGGACAACGTTTTTAAATTTTCTTCGTTTTTTTATTCCGTACGTTTCCTCTTCCACGACAGTAAACGACACACACATTTTACCCTATCGTGAGATTATAGGCGTATATTGACTCAAAATATGAATTAAAATTGAATAAAAAAACTATCACTGATAAATAATAAAATTGTTCTTTTAATTCTTGATAATATCGTTACCAACTCGAGTTTGCAACGTTAACTTTAAATTATCCTCAAGCTAATTTGAAAAAAATCGCTGCGAAACAATAAAAATATTCAACTTACCGTAATAGTCGAATGCATGAGCTGAGTAGAACAATGAAAAAATCGTACCAGATTAGATTTCTATTTTCATCGCGCTACATAATTATTAAACATCCACATTTAACGTATTTATCGTGTACATAAATGTTTTATAAAATTTAAAACTCAAAATGTACACATTTACTAACATTATAATCAATATTTTTTCAAGTTATACATTAAATGTAGATTTTTATAAATAGTGCAAATCAATTGAGCATTACTTATAATAAAGTGCCGGGATTCAATCAGCGCTCCTTTGAGGAAACGTACATATTCAATATATTATTCACTTGGTAATATTTTTTTCTTTCATATGGCTCCTCCGAAATTAGAAAAAATCTTTATCATGTCTTTTTGCTGTTACTGGACCCTCGTGCTACGACGACGATAAAAAATAATTTAAATTGCATGGACACACTCGTTTTTTCGAGTGTTTCAAAAGTAAATTTGTGTATATAGTTGCAATATTCATGTTACTATATGCATAACTTACGAATTATCAGAAAAATAAAACACGCAAAACTCATGTCAATGTCTTGTCACACTTATACCCACTTCTCAAGTTACTCGAGCACTTATTAATGCAAAAAAATATCGACTTAGCGAGGTGAGTATACTTTTCAATGATTTTATTAACAAACGCATTCAATAAATCGGCATTCCTTATTTGTGTGACGATGTTTGTGAAGTAACTTAATAATAATAAATTTCAAAGCAAAATCCCACTTCCTAATCAAAGCGTATCTATGTACAAATATTTGATACTGCCAAATAAGAAAAAACGATAATTCAAGCTTCATCTTACTACGTTGGTATATAGAAGTTTTTAATATTTTTTCCAACAAATTGTTGGCGAAAGACATTAAAATCTTCATATAGTACTTCATGATATCTTGAATTAATTTATGTAGCAGGATCATTGCAGCAGCAAATATGATTCATAAGTAATGACTATTTATTTAGAATGTTAATGAGTTCAAAGCTGATTACTTCATCCCTTGATAAAAAATATAAATAATGTTAATCGTGGCGACGAAAATTTGTAAATTTTTTTAATAGTACTGCAGTGAAGCTTTTGAATAAAACAAATGTTCGTCGTTACGAAAGCAAAGCAAAACAAAACAAACTAAAATCAAAATCCAACTGTGCACTGCTAAGAGTGATTTTTAACTACTTTATATATATTATAGAAATATAATTAAGTGATAATACTTATTGTTGCGGTACCAAATAAAATTCCCTCAGAATTTTATAATATGAATTTTGTTGAAATTAATTTACGGGAAAATAAATCAAATCAACAAAACGAGAAAAAAAAAGAAGACGAAACATACATAGGTAGCTAGGTGCAGACCCACCTTTCCTGGGACGCCACCAGTCGGTCTCAAAGTAGCCTGCGGAGCAATAATGAGTTGGTGTTGTTGTCGAACAGGAGGACATGGTGTATGTGGAAGAGGAGGCGGACAGTCCTTTATTTAGTTAATTGTCCAACACCCATATTCGCACACGATTTTAAATTAAAATGTTATGGTTTTTATGCGTCAATCGTGATAGAGATGTGTGAGCAAGTTTTCTTATTGTTAATCGCATGAGTTTGTTATATAGAAATCTTGTTACGAAAAATACGAAATACAACACCATTGATCAAGCTTTAAAATTTGTTATAATACCAACGTACAATCGGAAGGAAGAGGAATTAAACTTTTTTTAATTGAATTAGTGATCGATTACTATTTGTACTTATAAAAAAGAGATCAGTTATCCACACCATTGATTTGTGAAAATAATGTACCATTTGTCGAAGGAATTTCATCAAAAAGAATAGTGTATTGAACGACAAACACCAATAAGTGTCATGTTTTAAATTAAACTTCAAACCATACTTGAATATTTTTCAAACTCAACTGCTACGTTAAAATATTTCTAAAGGTTTTCAGTTTAATTTATCATGATAAATACACAAGAATGTTATTTTTCTTTCAAATGAAATAGGATTGTGATTGTTACATCGAGGAATTTCCATTTTCCGTGAAAGAATTATTTATGAAAAAGTGCTTATCCCTCAGCCATTTCCTTTTCCGACTTTCACCATCATATTGTTAATTGTCTAAAATTATTTACCGATTTTAAAAATTTCAAACCGAAGGATACGAGTGGAAAATAATTAGAACTAATGGTTTATTGGTGCTGGTACCATTAAGTAAATTTTCCGATAGTTATTCATTTTTGGTGCTGATACTAAGACAGTGAGAAGGAAAAACATTTCTAAATCTATTACAAACATTGTGACAAGTTGAAAAAAACCTAGCTGGTTTTTCTAGTCAACAGAGTTATAGTTTCTAATTGCTAGCATGAAAATACTAAATTATTTAAGTTAGCGCGATGACAGATATTCAATGAAAAGTTTATATACGAGCCGCTACCGTCTATACAGTTATTTCCACCTTTTAGAACTTCGATTATTGTGTATGCCATATAATTTATCGAATTTGATAATTTATCACGAAATTTGTGGACGTTCTATCATTGAGCCGATTTTAGTAATGAACGTTATAATATTTTGTATGCGCTTTTGATGAGACTGATGTGAACAAACAATCAATGATCTGACTGAAAATACTTGCATAAAACTAACTGCATTGAACTGATACATTTTTTGGGTGGAAGAAAAAATATCATTGATTCTTTGTTCTATTATGAGTAATCTTTGTGTGAATATGTAAGTTTCCTCGCCAATATAAGTAAACTTATCTAGTGATTTGATGATTATAATTAAAATAATTGACAACCTTAAGAGTTAACTATAACTAAAATTGAATTGATACTAGATTATAAAATACCATGTAGACTTCATCAATTAAAAGTGGAAGTCAATTGTTTTAATTCTATTGATTATTTTAACTTATTGGATTAAAATGTTACGTACATGTGATTATTATATGTTGATGTGAAATATGTAGATGAATGTATGAACTTTAATATGATTTTACTGATTTTGGAAAGTGAAATGATGAATCGGATTAGATATCGTTCAAGTTCAAATGTACAAATAATTAAACGTATATGTAAAGTTTATATTAAATTCTTATATCTGTACATTGAAACCACTATTAATTGATTGTTGGTCAATCCACAGGGTCAGTATACACAAAAGTTAATAGAAGTTACATTAATTGGAGAATCAAGTTAGATACACAAAGAAAGGGTCAGAAAATAATATTTTTACAGTCGCACTCCTCCAAAAGTAAAATTGAGTAAATGGCTTGTGATGATAAAAAATCGTTGTAGGTATAAATATTTGGTAAATTGTATATATTGTGTACGTAACAATGTGTAGGATAAAAATTGTGAATGGATGGTATAAAATTTTACTCACCGTCGTGATTTGCATGGACAACGGTTTGCGCCGTTTGCGTCTGCTTCGTATAGACTACCGGTTCTTTGGGTGGAATGTTTGTGTGGGCTACCGACACTATCGTCAACTCACGATTCCGCTTTTTTGGTGCGCTGTTCCATTCATTAATTCAATAAAATATAATTAAGTTAATTAATTCTTATGTCTATAATATATTTTGTAAAATAAAAATGTATTTGATGAACATTCAATTTCATTAATTCATCATACACATGCAACATCATTATATCAATGTTTTTATACCTGTGTGCTGAACTTAAACTACTTGGTTGTAAACTGGCATCTGGAGTCGCTGTGATACTCTGCTCCGGTGTAGCTAGAGAATTTGCACTAGATAAACTGGATAGCACCTCTGTTTAGAGAAATCAACATTATTTTGGCGTTAATGTAATTATAAGAAATATTATGATATCAAGGTATTACACTTAAAAATAAAATATACCTGAAACAGGAGCTACCCCAAGTGATGACAATAAGGCATCCACTTCTCTCTGTTGATCTGTATTTGTGCTCGCTGCTCTGATTCTTGCTTCTTCAACCTAGGAAAAAATTGTCATTTCAATAATTGAAGTTTTATTGTATTTATTTCAATTATTTATTATCCCTCACATCTTTTTGTTCTTTTTCTTTTCTTCTCCTTTCTTTTTCTTCTCTGATGGCTTGGAGTTTAGCCTTCTTCCTCTCCAACTCTGCTTTCCGATCAGACATCATTTTGTACAATATCTGTCAAAGAAGATAACAACTAATAAAAAAAATTTGTCAAACAAGAAAATCTTTTACAGACTACATATTAAAAGCCAACTACTTTGAGTCACTGCACTTATGTATGGTTATTCAACTGCAAGTAAATTCTCAAGCATATTTTTGTACACAGTCTACAGCATGTGTCCCAAAAATAGAAAATCTATAAATTAGCTTTAGAAAACTTTAAATTGTCCAGTGAAATGCAAAGTGAGTTTTTATACTGTCATACAAATAATTTTAATTTGCCGTCACTTTTCCATTGACGGATGAAATACGAATCAAAAGAAAATCAACCTGTCACAGGTATGTAACAGATACTAACGCGTGTGTATATATATGTACACTGCAATGTGTATATAGATGTAGCGTCGACGTAGTCGTACAGTCGGTGTTATATATAGTCAGTCAACAGTCGTGGTCGCAAACTTATTGATTTTGGGCAGTGTCTTTCGTACGCGCGATACTGCCTATACAGTGTCAACGCACTTCCACCCACGAATTCTCGTGCGTATTAACGACTTGAGCTTGTTCGTTTTTTTTCACTGGGTCTGCAAACGCGATATACTCACATCGTAAAATTAAAGTCCGATTTTATTGAAAAAGAATTGTTTTATCTCGAGAACGCCGATGTAATTCGCATGTCTACCCGCATAAACTTGGGGTGTGCTCTTTCTGTTGCCTTGCTGCTGCAGCACTGACTGCCGATTTGTATTGCAGCAGCAGCACACAGCAGCAGTAGACAAAAAAGCAAAAACAATCTGTGGGGGCGCGAGTATAGCAGGCTATATAATACACTGCGGGGACTGAGTAATTCGCGTGGCATGCAGTGCAGGCACAAATAGCATAATTAGAATCTCATGCGTGCTGCTGCTGCTGCTGCTGGAAAGGATGTAAAAGTAGGAAGGTGTGCGACGCTGCACATACAAGTATGCCGTCTGGCATATACATGTGAGCTATCTCTGCATGCCCATATACACGAAGGAATGTCATAATAACTGTTACTCCGTCTGAGCCGGAGATTATGATGTCACTTTAGAGATGCCACCAAGAGCACTTACGCTTCGTGTTTATGTATTTGATCGTGTTCCAGATGACTCGGGGAAGAGATAAAACTTTCTTCCTTGTGTATGGTTGATGTTTTGGAGTCGTTGTCAAAGAATCAAGCTTGACAGTAATCTACGACGCGAAGCACTCATGTATTCACAAAAAAAAACTTATTTTCACACAGGAACGATACGTCTGACTGAATGATGTACGCAACAGAGTACACACACGGCGGCACACGCGTCGTGTCGAGGAGCGGCGAACACGCCCGATCCACTTTTTTTCGTATATATACAAGACTCAGCTAAACTCGCGAGTTTGAGGTAACATGAGAAAAAAGTTCCCTAGGATGTATGCGCGACGTTTGCAGACGAGTCGCGACTAAGAGAGGTTACTCGTTACAGTCTCGAAATCACCATTATAATCGCATATTCGATATCTGCACGCGCGCAACATCCAAACGACTCCCTTTTTTTCGGATGGAGAAGATTCGCACGTTCGGTGTGTGTACAGTACACATACATGTATGAATGCATATGTGTATACGTGCTATATATGCGTATGTAGTCGCTGATACATAGGATAATGGTTGATGGTTTAACACGGCCACGACGCTGCTGCTGTTGCCGCTGCGGCGGCGTAAAATTCGCAAATCGCCGCGGCGGCGTGCAGAAAATTTTGCGCGCGCACGCGCATAGCCTTCAAAGCTTTTTGGCAGATATTTTTAATTTACTATATTATACTTGTTAGTTCTTTAGTGTTTTCTTAATCTTAAAAGATATCTCCACTTAGCAGAAGTATTGATGAAACAAAAAAATAAATAAATAAATAAATTTGTACAAAATAAAGTTTTTGTATTTTTCGAGAAAAAGTATTTATTCTCATTTTTTATTTACTCGTTAGCTTACAACCCCTCGTTGAGATATTTTCAATCAAGATAGTCGTAAAATTCTGTAATCTGCATGATAAAAATGGTTTTAAAATATTTATCGAAGTTCCTATGGGTAATTAAGTATGTAATCGAATTTTTTCCATTAAATTTATAACATATTAAGCCACGTCCGTTTTACTGTAATTATTAAATATGCTATTCATGAAAAATTGAGAGCGAGACTTGAAATAAAATCAAATCATAAAATTTTTCCTTGAATATTAATTAATGTATTGTGTTATCAATGTTAATAATGCGCTCGGAACGCGCTTAAGCGGCAACTAGTAGCGAGCTACATTATAGATATAGTCGATTCGTAATTAGTATGTAAAGTGTGGCAGACGATAGATACCCACTGCCTCGTTATAGCGAAGCAAGGAGTTGTATACATACTGACAGGTTTGAGAATTTTCGCACGCACTGCACTCGACAGGCCGTGACGAGCAGAGCAAAGCAGAGCGGAGCAGAGCGAGGTATACACGGCAGAGAGGAATAAAGGTGCTTATGCATGCATCACCTCCTTCTTCTTCTCCTTTTCCTCATCCCACTCGTTACCTACGTTCGCCTTTCTTTTACGGAGCTCTCCTGCAGTCGTCATCGCGTATGTTATTATTCAGATATGCACGCATGAGATCATGTACACAGAAGCAGCTCGCAGCAACAAGCTGACGGTGGGAAATTGCTGCGCTGCCGTAGGAGGAAGGATCATCGTCTTCGTCGTCTAGTTATGGTTAGCGGTGCTGCAGTAGGCCCGTTTTATACTTTGACGCTTTATCGTAGCCTGTTGTTTTGTCATTGTCGTCGTCTTCGTCGTCGTCTTCGTTGTGCTGAATGTCAATGCTCCTGATCTGAGAACCAACATGAACTGGAGCTGCTGCTGCTTCTGTTGTTGGCCCTTCAAGTAGATTTGGCTTCGATTACAAGCACTTTTTGCATCATCTATGAATTTTGGAGTTTTAAATCGCATTAATAGCAAGGTGGGTGCATTGACACGTAGTTTGTTTTTGGGTCGTGAAATAATGTGAAGTATTGAATCGGCTCATTTGACAGTTTGTTACTTCTGCTGTTTGTTTTGAATTCAGTCATGAGAATTTTAAACGCCCCCACATTCTATTTAAGTGTAAAGTGTTGATAGATTGTAAATTTGTTAGCGTATGTGCTGTATTGTCATAATCATTTCATGTAATAACTTTTAGAGAATTGGAGACAAAATGTACTCGGAGTGGGCATCGCTTAGTATGCTGATACAGCAGGGGACTGATGACAGTCAAAGCGTTCTTGAAAAATTTGCTCCTGGTGTTGGCAGAGAAGTAACGTTGTCCATTGTCAGACAACTTGCGACCAATCTTGGCATTGCTCAGGCTGCAGAAGCTAGTCCTCTCAACACAGATAAAGAAGTACAATGGTGCATGGAAGTTATTTGTTTTGGTTTGTCTCTGCCCTTGACTGAACATGACACTGTGAGAGACTGCGTTAATGTGTACTGCGAATGGCTCTCTGCCTTGTACACTTCACCTAAAATATCAGTGCCTAAGCCAATAGCGCAAGATCCCAATTTCTATGCTAGAAGAATAATTGGACATTTGCATAATCTTTTTGTACCTAGGAAAGGAGAAGGTAAATAAATTTAATATTATCAAAACTAATTTTTTGTAGATATTTCCAAGATATAATGTATCTGAATAAATCTCTGTTAATACTGTAAATAATAGTAGGGGTGATTGTTATTTAACTAACTCTTAATGTTTAACAAATGATTAATGAATAGTATTAATAGTATTAATAATAAGTCTGTAATTAACAAACATATGTAGTTAAATCTAACTCTTTTCTTTCCTAGTTTGGCCATTTTTATACCAGGATTCGGGTAACTCTATACTTATTTTGCATGTCTTATGTGTTTGGTTATTTTCTATTAATCTTTTTAATCACAAAATTACTTATCATAAATTTTATTTTTAGGATCTGACACAATCAATAAACAAGCAGTATTATGTCATAGAGTATTAAGAACATTACAGCAAGTAGCTAGAAGTTCCACTACTTTAGACAGAGAAACATGGGAAAGTTTACTTTTATTTTTAATCGGTATTAATGATGCTCTCTTGGCTCCACCTGCAATCAGAGAAGATACAGGGGAACAGTTGTGCGAAAGAGTCTTAGGAGTTCTTTTAGAGGTAAAGCAGTTACTTCGATTTTTAAAAACTTAATTTTTTTATATAATTTTATATTCTTTTCCTTTTTTTCAGGTATGGCTTGTAGCATGTGAGCGAAATTTCCCATCACCTCCTTTATGGAAAACCTTACGAGAATCATGTCTACGATGGCGGCATCGTTTATCTTTAATAGAGCAATGGAATCGTGTTTGTTTAGCACTAACAGCTCGTCTATTACACATAATGTATGGACCAATGTTTCCAGAATTAAAAATAAGTGAGTACAAAGACAATTCTTGTCAATCATTTATCACAAATTGATTATTAACAATTTTGAAAATTTGTAGGTGAAGAAGATTCTCAATTAGTCTCTAGTAAAATGTCCAATGAAGCCGTCTCTCAAGCTTGGTACAGGCTTTTGCGTACTATTGGAGATCCTGTAGACTTATGTCGTCCAGCTGTAATTTCACAGACTCAAGCTTTTTTAAGATATGCAATAGCTAGTCCCACTGTTGTCGATCCTTGTCAACATCCTTGTCTCCAGCAATTACCTTACATCTTTCTGAAAGCAATCAAAGGCATTGCTGGACAAGTTGATGCATTTTTAGGTATGTGGATAAAAATGCTAATAACTCCCTATATGAGTTACTGACACATTACACTGTAAAATTGATAATTGTGACTACTCTTTTCTGAAGAGCACAGGTTTTTGGCTGTTAGTTAACGTACATTTTTAAAAAATGTTTTTCAACCAAAGTATTTAACAGTTTTACTTATTAACAACACAATGGTATTTAGTTAAATGATATTTATTGGCTTTCAAGCACTATTCCTGTGGAATTATTAAAAAAATTAAAGAGTAAATAGTTAACAACTATAATTAGAAAAACTGTATTAGTTATTAGATAGACACTACTATAATTAAATAACTTGATAAATACACCGAAAAAAAAACAAGACAAAAACTCCAATGAAAGTGGTGGCGGTACGACCTTCTTTACCTTTGATCTGCAGGAATCACTCAGGCTTGCTGCTGGGAGGATTGCTGCGTAACGACGAATGCCTCTGGGCCCGCAAGTATCGAGCGTATTGCCAGCAGTGGTAACCAGCAGGTTCATTCGACACCAACTCCACCGACCCAACGTAGACTCGCCAAGAGCTTTAGCGTCACACCCTCTGCTGTCACTAAGGGTACACCACTATAATTGCACCAAAAAAACAATTAGTACACCCGCACTTGGGCCAAAAATAGTCATTGTCTTGCTTTATTTATCTGTCTGTTTTTTAAACTCTATTTCGCTTTTATTTTTCTTTCTAAAATGCACTGTGATTTGTGTATAGTTGATTGAGTGTTTTTAGTTTTTCCTACTTAGAAAGCTTTTATTTAAAAAGATTTTAATTGTAACAAAATTCTTATAATTAATATCACATCTCATCATAGGTATTCCAAAGGCTTCGTTGATTGGCCTAACAACGAGTAGAGTTACGAGCTCATCATTGATCAGTACAAATTCTGGGCCTTCCTCGTCGTCTAGTACAACTTGTAAGTAATTAACAATAAATATGTTCTTATTGAAAACATTTTTATTATTTTTTTTTCATTATCATTTCCAGCTATTGTATCATTAAGTCAAGATGTGAGACCCCCATTAGCGTCCGGGCGACCCAAGTGCAATAGTATTCTTCATTTATTTGGAGAATGGCTTTTCGATGCTGCATTTATTGGTACTGATGGGTGGACTCAGCAATCTCCTCGTAAGATTTTCAAATTTTGCTGTTACAAAGATGAAAAATATAAATGCAATATAACTTTATTCGTTTTATATAAGAGCCCAACAATGCTCCTAAACGGCCAGCTTCGGTATTAGTCGATGGTCCGAATTCTCTTCAAGAGGGTCACATGACGGAACTTCCAGCATCTCTCAACATCGATCGTTATGAAGCTGGAAGAGCAGAGGCCATGGGTACCTTGTGTCGAATATTCTGTGCCAAAAAAACTGGAGAAGAAATTTTGCCCGCTTATTTGGCAAGATTTTATCTGGCTATGAGCCATGGTTTGAAAATTAAAAAATTTAATGAGGTTGGTTTTTTGAAGCTCTACCCATAGAAATTCAAAAACTTAAAATAATCACACCGAATAATTTTTCAGGCAAAAGAGTGTCCCGAAACACTGGCCAGTATTCTCATTAATTCTGCCGATTTATTCCGTCTCGATTTGGATGGCGTGCAAGTATTAGTGCCACACGTTCTGGCCGCATTGGAACTCGTACTTCCAGAAAAAGATTTACGACTCAAATCAAATTCCATATCGAAGGTTGAACTTCACAGATCGTCTATTCATTTGCTTTTATCGATGCTATCGTTGCCGCTGCATTTCCAAAATTTACCAATCAAGGAGATACCCGCGTCGTCGACAGGTTCACACGAAAAAACTCCAATAACTTTTGCCCAATTGAAACCGCGACTCATGAACCTGTTGATAAACGCGATACAAGTCGAGGTCGATCCACAAAATACACACATGTTATTGGGTGGCTTATTGCTGAGTGTTCAAGACTCGGCGGCGTCTGAAGAAGTAGACCAAGTTACACAACTGGATAGTAATATATCAAATGAACCATCAACTAATTTGTTGTCATCTGGTAATTCAAATTATTTTCATGAATCAATTATATTTTTGGGTTTGCTCATTTCATTCATCTACTGTGAAAGTTTACATTTTAAATTATTTTTTCATACATCCTTTCATATTTTACGAAATGCCCTTTTTTATGAAATCTTTCATAATACATTTGCACGATTTTTATATATTATATCTTTCATATATCATTAAACGTGTGCGAAGACTCTTATATAATCATATATTTTATAATTGAACATTTTTGATTCGGTAAAATTATACAAGCATCGTGAGGATGAATCATATCCATATATATTGATAAACTAAAATTTCGGCTGTGCATGCATATACACTTGATTATTGTTGGTACGCTTCTCTAACTTCATACGTTATTGTTTTTTTGTGTTTCTGCTTCCATTGTGCATTCATTCTGCTATTGGCCTGTTTCTACGAAAAAAAAACGAAAAAAAATTCACTCGGGTATAGTTTGCACCAGCGACACAACCAGTCAGATAAGCATATCCAGCGATCTGCGCTCTCTTGGCGACACATCCGACATTGCTATGCTTCAAGAAGAAAGCGTATCGTTTGGTAAATATTTATGCTACTATTTTTTTCTGGCGAATGTGTATGATTGAATTATTGAAGTATTAAACTTACTTTTTTTTATTCACGCCTTATGACGTTAAGTTAATGATATGCTTGCACTAATTATAATAAATTTTATGTTTTTGCTACAATGTAAAAAGTTACAGGAGTAAGGGCGATGCTCCAAAATATGTCAATACTTTTTATCAATTGTCAGATTAAACGATGTTATACTTTTTCAGACTCGGCTCATGCCCTTTTTGTACGAGCCACGTATTTAGTATGTCACAGACTTATATCATCATGGAAAACAGATCTGAATATATCTTTGGCAGCTTTAGAAATGTTATCTGGTTTAGCAAGAACACGCATTCGTGAGACCGGTAGGTGAAAGTAAAATTTCCAGCAGATGAAAAAATATAACAATTGGTTACTACAATTTTCAGATTCATTAGAATGCAAACGCGCCGTGAAGTGGCTGTGCGACTTTATATCTTACCAGTGTTACCGACCACCTCCGGCACACTCGAAGGATCTGCACTCGTCGATCGTCGCTGCCTTTACCTGTCTCACTACTTGGCTAACAGCGCATCCTCAACTTTTACAGGTACGATCAGTAAAGAAATCTTCAAAAATCATAATTACTCAAAAATTGTAATTGCAATGTTTCAGGACAAAGAATGTCTAGCCACGGTACTGGAAGTCGTCGAACTAGGCGTATCTGGTTCTAAATCCGTGGGCAAACCTGGCGAAGCAGTAAAAATGAAAGACGAGAAGGAATTGAAGCCGGCGTCGATGCGCGTTCGTGACGCTGCCGATGCGCTACTCACTACCATTCTCGAGCAGGTATAAATACTATTGCCTAGCGCAAATAATCTAAATAAATAAGAAATTTCGCCGATCGGTCATTATCTTATGGATGGAAAATTTGGGTGCATCATAAATCAGTTTTCCGATCGTAAATTTTGCACCGCGATGATTATATAGTGTTTTTACGAGCGACGGTGCTTGACCGAGCTCGGCATCTTGGCAAAGTTCTTGACAACTGGTTTCTTCGCATTATCTCTCGCGACGGCTTATTTTCATTCTAAACTCGGTACATTATTTATCGAAATTATTTTATCAAAACTCCTTGCGCAGGTCGGCTACTTTCCAAGCGTCTGCGGAGCCGAGTCTCTTTCATCTCTCCTCGATGAGGTCTCGCTGCTGCGTCACTGCAACAGCTGGGCCGGAGGTCAAATCGCGCGCGAAGCCGTGGTCGAGCGTTTCCGCTACTTCGTGGCCGATAACGCGACTATGCTCGCCTTGCTGGAGGAGCCGCTGGGCAACGATCAGGACCCCCAGCCCACGGTCACGGTGCTGATTCGTGGCCCGTTCGGACGTCACGCTTGGACGATGCAGTTGAGGCATTTGCCGCGGCACAGGTCCGTCGCGAGGAGCACCAACACGAATCCAGGAAGACCATTGCCACTCGGCGATGTGCAACAAACGCCGGAACACAAGCCTCGATTCTTCCCAGATAACGTCGATAAAATACCGCATTGCAAAGTGTAAGCTGCCTTGTAATCATTTTCTTCCCCTTCATAAGTTAGGCATGAGTAGAGTAAATAACACGATTTTTTTTTACTTCTCAATAGAGATGACTCCATACCTAGCTTGGAAGCGGTCATGAACGAGAGCGAATCGATAAAAAATGAGCATCAAATTCTGCATCAATTGCTCGACTATGCAATTGCCAGTGAGAAAAAGTCCAATGAAGAGAATGCCAAGCGAGTCGAATCGGAAAGATTGGCCGAGTGCTCGTCGCCTAAAATCTGTCACGATTTCCAAACCGCTCGACTGTTTCTCAGTCATTTCGGCTTTTTGAACGTCGAATCTAGCGATGAAAATAATTCCTCTGGCCTGTCGGGTTTGACAGCTTTAGATCCGACTATGGCCGGCTTCGCTGCAGACTTGGAAAATCTCGATCACATAAGCGCCAGAACGTGCGACACGGTGCACGTGTTTTACGTTAAAGCTGGACAGACCGCGCCAGAGGCTATTTTGGCTAATGTGGTGAGTGTGTCTTTTTAAATTTATATTACACATTTAAGAAACCTCTCGAGAATTATGTTCAGTACTTTAAATGACGATTACGATCCGCAAATAGTTTGGAAGTGTTTAGTATTGCAGCTTGTGTGACTCTTTAATACATTTTTTATTTATAACGTTCTTGGTATTATGAGCTTTCATTAGCGAAATGCTAATTTTAACTTTGAAAGAGCGTGATTCACACTCATTTTCACAGTCTATCTATATTACAAATACATATTATTATTCATTTTTTTTCATTACTTTCAGCTACACGAGAGCAACGTATCGTCGAATTTTCTTGAATTTCTCAATACGCTAGGATGGCCGGTGTACGTATCGTCTCACGCGGGTTGGACGGGCCACGTAAGAACGTCTTGGCGCTCAACATCGTCGTCGTCGTCGAGCGACGCGGCGAACAGCAACGGCAACAATCCAAGCGACGATAACGCAGAACACGGCGGGGCTCGTTACAACGGTCAAAGCCAGGTATTGTACTGGGCAGACGTCAGCTCGGAAGTCGCCTTCGTCGTGCCAACTCTGTCGAACAGCGCGGCTTCTGAGAGTCTGCCGCCCGCCGATGGTAATTACAACGAGAGCAACAATGGTGAGTGAAAATAGCTCTCGTGACGCTCACTCGCGCTCAACGAGGAAAATTCACGCGCGATTCGGTTAAACGCGAAAAACAATTCAATTTTAAATGCGTGTGTCAGTGAATGCATCTCGTGGGAAACATTTTGCGGGAGTTTATGAATTCCCCCTGCGTGATTCAGCCTAGCGTGACGAAGATATCCGTATGCGTTCGTTTAACTCAGCCGCGAAAGAATTTGAAAATTTACAACTCGAGAACGCTCGTTGATTCATTAAATTATTGCTCCTCTTTCTGCATTAATAACATTATTTAAATCCCTTTTTCGCTCGTTCGATGCAGTTTGGTTCGAGCGATGCGTCAGCGTCGGCGGGGGCGCCCATGCTTTTTCCAATACGTCAGCGAGTCAGCCGAGAGCAATGTCCTTGGACTTGGATAAACAATCGTCGAGTTTGGCCTCGGCGGGATCGACAGCAGCAGCGACGCAACAAACCAACGAGCCGACGAGGCCTCGCAGGACGACGAAACCTCCGTTCCCCGCGCAGACCGACACCAGAATCATGGTAGTCTGGTTGGAGAGCTATGAGGATTTCTCTCAGTTTCCCATTTGTAAGGATGATGATTTTTATTTCGTCGCGTGGATGTTTTTATTATGACGATTAATATTTTCACGAGAGCGCGTTGATGACTCGGTGTTTAGTTAGCGGTCAACATTTGAAATAGCCAACTGAGCACGACGTCGTCGTGTATTATTATGAATGAAAAGTGAAATAGCGAATGAGGTAACTCTCGTGTTGAGTCTCTCTAGAGAGAGTTATTTTCTGCAGAGTTAACGCATCGTAAAAATAAAAACCAATTTGACGCGAGTTCATCGCACTCGACGATGAAGTTTACGTACATAATAATACACGCACGGATAAGCATTTATAAATGTACAAAAATGAACGAAAAAACAAAACAAAACATTTTTTTAGCTGGCCTACTGCCCCATACGAGTACTGGCCTGGATAATTCGAGAATACTTCAAGCTTGCGACGTGCACGTTATTTATCTGCAAGCCCTGGCAAGCGGTCTGATGCGCGTCAAGCTCCAGGGCCCGACTTCGCGTATGAATCTCGCGACGCCCCTGATCGATGGCATGGTCGTTTCACGGCGCGCCCTGGGCTCCCTCGTCCGGCAAACTTGTCTCAATATAGGACGAAGAAAAAGACTGGAAAACGATAGGTAAGCAGCGTCGAGAGCGACTAATGGCGACTCGTTTCGGCCAATTTGCGCGGGCGGCAAGAGTTAATTTCGTTTGCGATTTCCTTTTTCAGCTATCATCCGCCACACGTAAGGAGGCGGCTGAAAATACAAGACATGGTGCAGAAGTACAAGCGAAATCTGCAGCCGCCCGAATTGTTGACATTGTTATTTAATAGCACGCAGATGTAAGATAGGCAGATATATATATACATATATTTTTATTTATGCAGCAATTACTTGTGATATATTATTATTACTATAATATAATTTTTGTCAGGCAATAAACTTGTCAAACTTACTATCAATCTTATTGATTTATACCTGCAATTCCAATTGAATATTAATGATAATTCTCGGGACTATAGGACAGATATAATGGGAGTTAGTTTACTCGATGCTTTTGTATTAATCTATTGACAAAGCTATTAACTTTAACGCGTTGATCAATCATAGGAAAAAAAACGTACTATAAAGGCGAATTGATCAACTATAACGTGAAAAAAAATGAAATTATCATCGATAAGTACACCAATTGACTCTTTCTTTTATTCTACGTGTAATGAGGAATAATTGAATTCACAAACATATAACGTCTACTAGGAAGTAAAAAATTATGCTTGGATCTTAAAAATTAAAGTTTCATTAGACTAAACTTTAAAATAAAAAGTTACCAAAAATGGCAGGAAAATTCGAATCGATCGAAAAATTTTACGACCAACCTTTTTTCGCTTTGAATAAAGTTACTTTTAGAATGTCGGGATGGTGGCCGTTTCAAGAGACCAAAAAACGGCAAATGATTTGGAGTTTTGTTTGGTTTTGCATCGTCACAGTCGTCATCCCAGAAGTACCATAATATTCAAACACTTCTATGTTAACTTAATTAGCTTACGATTATTCAATTTATTCATACACTCAGGTAATTTATCTAATTCAAATTATCAAGGACTTGACAAAGGTAATCGAATGTTTCATGGCCCTGACAATTACCTACGGTGCATTCACCATGGCGTTCAATGCCTGGCACAACAACGACTCGGTATATAATTCTCAAACTTTTTTCACGCGAATCTAGCATTTTTTTATTCTTTTCCAAAATTCATTTCACGTATAGCTGAAAAAGATCCTCGAGCACATCTACTCGAACTGGGAAAATCTGCGCGACGAGCAGGAGCTGCGAATATTCACCGATCGCGCGACCATCTCGAGGCTCGTGAACATAGTCTATGCTCTGGCTGTGTTTTACAACATCATGATACACACGGTGTCACCACTGATTCCACCCGTCGTCGACTGGTTCATGATCGGTAACTGGACGAGGCCCGAGAAAAATCTGCTCGAGGTCGAGTATCTGTTTCTCGACCCGGACCGGTATTATACATTAATTTACGTTCACGGCGCGCAAGCTGGATTTCTCGTTGTGTTCGTTATCGTCACCCACGATACGTTCTTCATGACGATAACTCAGCACTCGTGCAGCATGTTTACGCTTTTAGGGTAATAATACGACGCGCTCTGTTTTTCCGCGAGGCTCGAGATGTATTTTCACGAGTTGTAATTGCAGGCACAGAATACGCAAGATGGACGAAGATATTTTGAAGAGAAACAGACGCCACTCTTACGCCATGCAAAGAGTCAAAGAAATCATATTTTTCCATCGAGACTGTCTCAGGTTCTGCTGAAATTATTTTCATTTTTCATTTTGAAGCAAATGACTTGATTATAACTCCTTTCGAAACTGAATGTGCTTTAATGTAGATTCGCTCAACTGTTGGAAGACACGATGAGCGTCATGTTTTTATTTCAATTGTTTCCGAGTGTATTAATGATTAGCGTCGTTGGAGCTCAAGTAAGCTTGTGTTCTATTATAGTTCATTAATAGTAAACGATCGAGCAAATGATTCTTTCTATCGTACCGCAGGCAATGATTCGTGCCCAGGCAATCGAAGAATTGATCAAATTCGGATTCATATTTATTTCCATGATAGTTCGTTTGTTCTTCATTTGCTGGTGCGCTCAAAGTATCATGGACAATAGCCTCGTAGTAATGTCATATTTGTAAGTTGATTCTAAATATTTTTGAGTTTGGTATTTTTATCGTGATCCATGCCTTGAAAAATTCTCTTAGAGCAAATACGAGGTGGTACGAGTATCCTGAAAGCTCGAAAAAATTGTTCCAGCTGATGTTTATGAGATGCTCAAGGCCTTCTTATCTGACGGCCGGCAATGTATTTACTTTGAACTTCGTTACTTACGCTGCGGTATAATAAAATGCAAATTGTTTTTTTTTTTTTTTATCGAACAGATATTTTTCATTACTATTACAGATGATCAAAACTTCCATGTCGTACTTGACGATGATTCTTCAAACGCAGGAATAAAATCTCTAACGAATGGAGCAAAGAAACTAATAGTTATTTTGCCGAGATGAACACTCGAGTCAAAATTGAAATTGTAACAAATAGTTATCCACGTATTTTGTACTCTTAGTGAAAATTGTCACGTAAAACTTACACTCTTGTACGAAGACTCTAGCGTAGATGTATCAATCAATTTAATGCAATGTAATCAATGATGTCGTATTTTATAATAAAGTGAAACATCGTATGGTAAAATGTGAGCTAACGACAATATGTTCCTTGCCAAAAGGTAAGTGTATGAGTTACGATGTATCATGTTACGAGAAATTTTGAGCATTATATATTTCACGAAATATTTTGCGCCTATGCTGCGAGCGTAGCATAAATCACGAAAGGGGGAACCTATGTCGGTCATTTCCGCGTGTGTACGAATGTTTATTTTAACCGTAATTGATCTCATAATATCTCTCGATGATCTAGATGTATCGGTAATTAAACGAAGGAAAATAAACACTTGTTTCACTATCCGCCAACTATATACAAACTTATCTTCCCAGTGAAGGAGAGAAAGAAAAAAAGAAGTCAATAGATTTTGTGGGTGTAAAGGCGGAAGTGGCGAAATCAGCCCGCGATCGACGAAAAACACCATCGAAAAATTCCTCATATCGAAGAAAGAGAGAAAGAAATAAAAAGCTCACAGCCTGAGATTGGGTCGTCTCTCGAGAGTGATTCACCCGCACAAGTCGAGCCGCGAATCTCGAAGTTTCGCCATCGCAAATACAGACATACTTTACGCGCCGATATTTCCTTGCGAGTAAAGCTTCAACTCTCTCTCTCTCTCTGTTCGAAAGCTCTCTTCCAATATTAGAATAACCCTGATGACGATGGCTACTGCTGATGCTTACCCCACTTGCAAGTACTCGTGCTCGATGATGATGATGATGAGCTTCGCTTTGCGCGCGCGCGCGCCCGCGAAATCAAGGCTACTTTTTTTAACTTCAGAGAAAAGCGATGCGCGCGGGGGGCCGCCGTGGTATATGGCAGCCTGTTGCTGTTGCAATGATCCATATTTATATATAACACGCATCGGAGTTTCGGCCGATTGGTGCACGATCGTGTAAACGTATAAAACGCCCGCGGCCCATCGACATCGGCATCATTTCAGTCTCTGATCTCTGACCGTGAGCTTCGAAGAGCTTACTTTACTTACTTTACTTATCCACAAGCACAAAACAACAAAATCGACTTCAACATGTCTCTCGAACGTCAAGTCCGCATGAAGGTATATTCTACTACTACACTACAGTGCCATTGATAATTTTTGGTGTCGTGATAATATTTACTCAGTGTTTTCTTAGTTTGTGATCGTTTACATAGGGCTTTTGAAAAAACAAAACAAAATAAGTTCGGTGTTTTTACAACGTTTTCTTGTCCCGCAGATCATGTCCAAGCGCAACCCCGAAGAGGAGCGCGAGGCACAGCAGTGGGTCGAGACCGTGCTCGGCAAGAAGTTCCCCGCTGGTATGCCGATCGAAGACGTCCTGCGCGACGGCACTCAGCTCTGCGAGCTGATGAACAAAATCAAGCCCGGCTCCATCAAGAAGATCAACACCTCCGGTGGAGAGTTCAAGATGATGGAGAACATCAACAAGTGAGTTTTTTCCCCCTTTCGATCTTCAATTTTATACTCGTCATAAATTATAATTTTTGAGATAAATCATCGAGCTGGAGTGTCGTTGAAAACTGGCAGCGAAAGTGAATTATTGTTCATAAAACTGACGAGTAAAAAAAAAATTTTGGCATTGTTTCAACGCACAAATGTAGTCATTCGGTATTTTAAACGATGAAAGAATGTGCAATGTATCATATAGGAGCGGCATAAATACCGATCCTCGATCGATCGGAAAAATCTGAAAATATGTTTTGAAAACTTTTCCTTGACACGGCGAAATTGTCTATTAAACCAAAGAAGGTTACGCGCGGGTACGTATCTTAGATTTCATGAAAAGTCTCTAGTCGCGAAGGCAAAAAGTCATAACGATCTGCTAATAAAATCTCGTCGCGTCACCCAGCGCACGGTCTGGCAAAAAGGCATTAATCCATCGACAAGACACATCCCATTAATTTCATAAATAGTCTGTGAAATCCGTCCAATTTGGCAAGACTCGAAAAGCTCGTCATATCTCTCGGGTTCTGTACAAAGTCCGCTTCTTTCTCGGCTGCATGTGTAGACTGACGCGAGGTTTAATGTTGATGATGCGACACTTGCCCCCGGTGCACAACTGCACACACGCATACACGAAGCGTGCCATTACTTTTAATTTCACGTGGCAATTAAATTGCAGATTCCAAAAGGCCCTGATCGAGTACGGCTTGTCCGACGTCGACGTTTTCCAGACCGTTGATCTCTGGGAGAAGAAAGACATCGCACAGGTCATCACAACCCTGTTCGCTCTCGGTCGCGAGGTAAGTTTCCGAGCTTGCATGGCGACAAAACAAAAAAATCGTTTCGTACGTGCAAAATTTCATTTAATTTTTTCCCCTTATAGACCTACAGACACCCAGAATACACAGGCCCACATCTAGGACCCAAGCCCGCCGACGAGTGCAAGAGACAGTTCACCGAAGAGCAATTGAGAGCCGGCGAGAGCGTCATCGGTCTCCAGGCTGGCAGCAACAAAGGCGCCACCCAGGCAGGACAAAACATGGGTGCGTCCCGCAAAATCCTCCTCGGAAAATGAAGCGATTATTCAATTTTTCTCAACCATAGATGCTTAGTTTTATATTAGATTTATGTAGAAAATTAATGTATCGAAAAAAATTCATTCTTGCATTGTGATTTTGGAGGTACGACGGAAAAGGACGCATTTTCATCCAGCTCGATCTCTATTATCGCGTTTGATTATGTATACACTTTTTACGTACGAGTTAAGTTTAATTTAATTTATGTGTGGTTTTTATCACGATAATCATTGTATAACACAAAAATTGTGCGACATTTTTTTTTGAATAAAAAAAAAACAAATAGATTATTTATCATAAAAAAATCAACACGTTATATTCATTTCATTTCCGATTGACAGAACTATTTCCCGAATGTTTTATTTTCTCCAAAAAATTGAAAATTTACAAGCGGAACTCGGATCGGAATCGAACATCCAACTTGTTCGAGAAGTCTTTTTGACGAAACAGAGCTTTTTTACACAAGAATCTCAAGCGAAATTAAAAATATACATATTTTTATAAGAAATTCTGCACGCTAAGAACCATCCATCTTCCGAAAATTTCAAATGGGTCAGCGAACGTAACGTAACATTTCCGACGATATATTTCCAGATTCCATAGGAATTTCGCGCAGCGACGAACGAAAATAGTTCTCCATATGGCGTATTGTATTACGCACATATACACACTTAAAAACGAAGCAACGTTTCTTGCATCGCGATTATCATTTATATGCTTCTATTTGCTCAAGAAAACGCGAAAATCGTGCGGACGCGCACGCAACTGCCGTAAGCCGCCTTGTTGGAGAAAAGTTTACTTTGGCCGGCAGCGAATTTGAGCTTCTCATTTATTTTCAAATAATTCGGTAAACTCCAGATTTTCAGACGCCCGTCGACACTGGGTTAAATTTAGAGCCTTTACAAACAGTAGCGGGTGAGCTTGCAAGCACGCATTTGCATTTGCAGTCAAAGGTTTACGGTAGCGGTCGAGTAAATACTTTTTTGTAATATTTTTTATCTCGAATTCGAAAAAATTGATAGTAATCGATATAAACTGTACGAAAGATAGAAAAGATAATGAACTGAAAAAATTTATGTCGTGATTTTTTCTTATCTTTAGAAAAAATGATTTTCAACTAATGCTTTAGATAAAAAGAGATAAAATTCGAATGACGTAATTAATAATAATAACAAATTGTTCAGCAACTTATTCAATTCTCTATTTCTCATCCATTCTCGAACGTAAAATTATTGCAAATGACTAGTTGCAACGGAGATGAGAAAGCATCGATAACGTAGAAAATGCTCGTGCTCAACGATCGATACGTTCCAACGAGGTACCATCATGGGTAACTTCCAAGCTTTTAACGATAAACTCATCTTCTACTATATCCGACCAAAATAAAAACGAAACTCGAGCGTTGACAAAATTTTGTTGAAAAAAAAAATAAAGCTCAACTTTGTTTTACATATAATTCGAAAGCTTTTTCGAACTAATATTTTAGTGTTTGTATCGGAGGTAAGAGCAGGTATTTCTTACAATAGAATTTTTCTCCTATAGCGAAAAGTTTAGTCGTCGGCTTTTCTTTTCCTTTGAAATTCGTACGCTATGTTGAAGCCAACGAGACTACACTCAAACATCAGTGGATAAAAGAATTTTTATTCTCCATCTTTTAACGCGGTGATACACAAGGTAAGAAAACAAAAAAAGGTCCTCGAGCGAAGTAGCGTTTACATCGAAAGTATAAGTTTAAGTATCAAAGGAATTATTATACAATGCAAAGCTCGAGTGGTTCTCTCGTAAACAAGCTCGTAAACAAAAATCATGCCAAAAAGTATCGAAACTCAAGCGAACATTCGAAGCAGCGTATATAATACATAGTACGAGACGGAAAGTTACCGCAAGACTCGAGACCCGCACTGCACTTGCGAGCAAGTATGAAAATTACAACAACTCGCACGATACGTCGCTGCGAGCTTTCGGCTGCTGTGTATGCGGCTTACCACTGCTACTGCTGATCGTCCAGTTTGTATGTATAACTACTTTTGTGAAGTTTCGGATGAAAATGCCAGCGATACATGCACATAAGCGCGTGCTGCTGTGCAGAGGACATAATTCAAAATCTATCAAGCGTGGATCGAGCGCTAAAATGGCTCATTGGCAAAGTAGAGAGATGCGCGCACAGCCACGGGTATATAATATGATGCAAAAAGCAAAATCGGTACGAACGCAAGTTTCAATAAATATCATCCTTGAATATCTATCGAGCTTGCAGTGAGCTTTTTTGCTTCGAGAAGTTAAAAAAAAAGTTAAGTACGTAAAGCTTAGGTTCATCGTCAGTATACGGATTTTGGATTCGTGTATCAATCGTGTCTGACGCTTTAACATCGAATTCAATGGCGTTTCGACTCTATACTAATCTTTCATAATACGTGCGCTGCGCCGTTATATCATAGGTTTAACGCACGAGTACGGTACGGCATACCACATTTCGCGCATGGCCGCCGGCCAAGCAATTTCATAATGCAATTTTCGCAATAATATTTACACGCACGGATCGAATGCATCGCGCGCGCATTACTCACTCATTTTTTTTCCGCCTGCTCTATAATATATCTATATCTACATGCGTTTATAAGTTGCAATTTTCTTCGCGGGTACAACACGAGTCAACCATCGCTTCACTCAAAGATCGTAGTCATGAGCACGAAACGCTACATTATCATGAGGATGTAACTCGATGAGGAAATTTTTTTGTCGCATCGATGTTCTTAGCACTGAAGGCGCGTCGACGACGCGCGCACGCACGACTTAATTATAGGTGAAATATTGCGTGCGTGCGAAATATCCTACACGCGCGCACGGCTAAAGCCAAAAATAAAAATGCGCGAACTGCAGCAGCATCAGCAGCGGCATTTTTCAGCCTGCACGATGATCGCGTGGGCGTATACGTGTATTATAGAATATATGCTGCGCGTCAAACCATCCGTATATTATCTCGTCGCATACATGTATGTATATGTGTGAGCTGAGGCTCGCAACTCTTCTTCTTCATCGTCGTCGTCGTCGTCGTCGTCTTCTTTGCAACTGTCTGCATACATATTATGCGCGTCTCTGTGTATTTTCTCCATTCTATCTTTAACTTTGGCGTTTCGAGCCTGCGCGCGACTGTGTAAGTGCAACGCACATACACGTACAACCGATTCGAGCCATAAGGCTTCGTTGTAGCGCGGCGTCGCTGCAGCTGTGCGCGACTTCGCGCCGCGATATTATGCTAACGACCAAATTTCGCTCGAAAGCTCACCGCCGAGCAGAGATTTTCATCTTTCTGTATTATGCTCGCGTACACCGGGTGCGGTGGCGAGCGATACAAAAATCGAATCGCTAGCTACACACGGCTGTTACTGATTTTTTCCATCGGCTTTCTTTATACGTGCTATACAAGTTATAGAATTGGCACGGAAAATTGTGTGGAAAAGTCATTAAGAGAGATCGTGGGGCGCTCGAGGCCGCGCGCTGCACTGTGTAAAATCGCGCGCGCCCACTCGCCGCGCGAAAAAGCTCCGCACAGCCATACTACGCGTGTCTCTATGTTTTTGTATCTTTTCGACCACTATACGTTTATATTTTATTATAACTCAATGCTGTTAGCCGACGTAAGACGTATTACGTGTGTTGTGTGTGTGTGTGCTTGTGCGCGCACCACGATGCCGAGATATTCATAACATTTTTCGCAAGTACACGAGAGCTCGCGGGGCTCTGCATATATTTATACGGATTTTCGCGTTGTGTTATACATATGAGCGTATTATACGTATGGGCGCAATCTTTCGTATATTTTACATAATATAATATAAATGTCACACACAGTATTCAGAGGGTGTATGTATGCTAACATTCCACACTGGCCGTATTTCAAAACTTTCGACTATTTTCAAGCGATGTGCTCTCTCTCTCTCTCTCTCTCTCTCACTCTTGTTTGTAGATGTGTATTCTATTTTTTAACTTTAGCTATTTATACATGAAAGCAGTTCACTCGTTTCTGCGTTTGTGTATGTGTGTGTGTACCTGCAAGCTTCTCGTGAATTTCAACTTTTGGAATAAATATTATATGCATATCGTTCGAGCATGTATGCGTGCAGCTCGCGAGTAAACGCGTATTATGTAGGTGAGCATACCTCGGGCCATTAAACGATCGCCCGTTCACGTACGATATATACTTTTTGTTACGATCCGCAAGCTCGTGCAAGCTTGCGCGCGCGCGCGAGAGAGAGAGAGAGTGAGTGAGTTCCGTGCAGCGCTAATTAAATCAAATGAGTTATTAGTCTCTATGCGTATTTAAACGCGTTCGCGATCTTTTAAAGGTCCGCGCGTAAACATATGCCAACTCTTTTAGAGATTTGTTGAAATTTCATATACACATACTAGCGCGTACTCGTGCTTCGCCGTTATTACACCAGCAGCTGTATCGCGCGCCCGCGCGACGACGAGATCATCGTTCCGAAAATTCCAATCGCAAGCGGAGCGCGAGACAAATTTTATAATTAGCTGGGCAATAAAGTAAGAATTTGGACAGATTTTTCCCCTCGGATTTGTGGATATATACGGGCGTAGAGCTTGTCGACTTAATGGCAATTAATCGAGGGTTCGAAATTACCTATAAACATATATTTCTTCATACGTATGAGGAGGTGTGTGAAAAAAAAAAGATTTATAAGGCCGAGCTTGTACAATTTTGGTGATACTTAAAGAGCCCAAAAGTCGTTCGAAACGCGTTACTATATCACTCATATAAAAATAGGCGAGCAGTAGGCCACTCCATGCGCGACACGTAAGCTGCATGCTGTTCTCGTGAGCGTGCAAGTTCCATAGAATTTGCGAAAATGCAATTAGGATGACTGCGTCGCGGTTACGGGAGAACAAGAGATAAAAGACAACTGCCAGAGAAAGAGAGTCAGAAAGGCAGTGATGTGCATAGGGATCGAGGATGACTGGGTATGTGTATGAAAAAGCTCTTTCTCTGTAATATGACTCATCGCCGCACCAACAGCATATACACATTTGCAGCTTTCTCTCTCTCTCACTCTCTCTCACACACACACACGAAAGGTTCTCCGTGCCAATGGGCCGCTACCACGAGAGAGACTCTAGCTAAATTTGTCCGAGCTTACATAGTACACGTAAATGCATGTGCAGCTGCGGCGTTCATATCGCATATGTGCGTATCATGGCGTTGCGTATTACAGGGAGCCGTACACACACGCACACACACACTCGAGTCCGAATTCTCATTTTAT